TGCAGTGGCTTTTACTGTTTCCCCATTGCCTCTCATTATTGACACTTTGAGGATACTCCTCCCAGCAAGTTCTAAGAACATAAACCTGCTGGCCGTATTGCTAGAGTTACTATCTTTGGATCTGACCCTAGTTAAGTGAGTATTATATGCAGTAATTGCATGTTCCTTTTAGCTGATTCTTTTTCTACTAAAAGTAATATTGGAGTTGCTAAGGAAAAAGGTCCCTTTTCAAAGACTTGCAATTTATAACTCTTACTATTTTCTTTGGTCCAGCTTCCTGCATGGAAGAAATACCCTGTCGTTTCAGATACTCTTCAATTTTCTCTTCATCCATAGAATCCACAGGAATGCTCCTCCATAATTTCTGAAATTCTAAAATACCAAACAAAGCATTCATCCCATATTGTGATGAATATGAAACACTGGTAAAAAAGAACATCCCGTTCATGGAAAATAAGCATGTGCAAACACAAATCTCCCAACATTCCTGCGTATGTAGTATCATATAATGATATACATGAGGCCTCTGCTAACCATACCATCACTGGCATCAGAAAATATGCACAACTTTAGTCACTCGAAGTGCTAACTGCATTTTGGGAAAGAAAATATGTAATTATAGAGGTAAGCTGAAATTTGTTTTGGTGTTAAACATGCTCCAGAATGCACGCAATAGCAGCATAATAACAACTCAGTATTGGTTTTGGGCTTTTTCCTAAAGCACTTGCACAGGCTTTTACACTTCAAGGTCATTTAAAACATCAATTCAAAAGATCCTTGGGTTTGGTATTAACTAACCATAGGAGCCAGCTTCATTTATTAATATACAGCTGCCATTATCACAGGACTGTCCACCATCTGCCTTTCACTTTCTGAAGATTTAATACACTTACTCCATTAATTGGTCGAAGGTATTATTGCTGTAATATAAACAGTGTTATACAGTTAATCAATTTAAAAACTCTGACATTAAAGAGAAAATAATGGAAGTGGAAAAGAACAGAGAAGCAACATCTCAATTACAGCAGCTGCCAGCCCCACTGACCATGCTACCTATCATGTCAGTTCCATGTATTCGTTGGAATGTCTTATCCAGGCAGCAACTGGTACAATTCCACCACCCTTAATCCCATGGGCATTAAGTTATGTAGTCCCTGTCAACAGGTTTGGCTAACAAGTCATAAATAAAACGCTAGCAGCAAAAGGCTAGATTATTTTCTTTATTTTGAGATGCATTCAGTATACAGTTGTCAACACCACTACAGCACTTACGAAGCATTTTGTGCAGCCTGCCTTAAAGCAGGGGCGGGCAAAATATGGCTTGCAGGCTGAATCTGGCCCACCAGGCAATTCCATCTGGCCTGCGGGCCCCTCTGTAAGCCCTGGCCCTGAGTTGCCCCTCTACAAGCTGGTGCCTCCATGCAGGAGGTGTGGCTCTAGCTGCTAAGCAACCACACTGGCCCACCCCAACCTGGCCTGGCCTGGCCCGCCCCAGCCCCAGCGGGCGCTGGAGATTAGAAGCCTCTGCCTGGCAGAGCTTTTGCCTGGTCACCTGGAAGAATGTAAATTCACGTATGGCCCCGCCAGACAGGGGGTCAGGGACTCCTGTTGGGGGAAGGGGGCAGAAGCACGGGGAACCATGAACTATGAGGTCAGCCAGGCGGGCCCCACATGCTGCAGGAGCTGTGTGCTATGGGGCCAGATGGGGCTGGCCTCACACGCTGCCACCACTACATGCAACCGGGAACTTGGGTAAGAGCTGAGTGCTATGGGGCTGGGTTGGGCTGGTCCTGCATGCTGCCGCCACGTGCAGACAGGGGTAGGAGCATGGGAGCTGCAGCTATGGGGCTGGGAAGGGCTGGCTCTGCACGCTGCCATTACATGCAGCCAGGGACTAAGGCAGGAGCTGGGGGCCAGTGAGGCTGACCCTGTATGTTGCCACCATGTGCAGCCAGGGACTCAGGCAGGAGTGGAGAAGCTGCGTATTATGGGACTGGGTGGGGCTGGTCCCACATACTGCTGCAGCCTACGGCCAGGGACTGGGATGGGAGCATGGGGAGCTGCATGCTATGGGGCTGAGCAGGGCTGGCCCTGCTTGCTGCCACAACATACAGCTCCAGGGACTCGCACATTCAAGGGATTCCAAGGATCCTCCCCTACCCCCGACCATACC